TGCTAAGTTTCTTCCTTTTTTTTTTTTTTCCTCCAAGTGATCAGTTTTAGAACATCTCAGATGCAATTTCCATGTGTATTCTGTGAATTACCAACTTTAATTTTATTTGACTGTCTCTTCAATAGGATTTTCTCTACAGCACAGTAGTTTTTATAATTCCAGATGGATAATGATAACAACTAGATAATTGTACTATGAGGGAGGCAGGAGAAATAGGTAGTACTCATCAGGAGAAGGAATTTGAAAAATGCTGTGAGGATTGGCAGGGAAAGGGAGAAAGGCAGAATCTTGTGAGAAGTTCCTATGCCTTTAATTTAGCTTTAATTCAAATGCATGAATCTCTATATGTTGTTTTTTAATATAGTGGTATAGTACAGCTAAAAATGCACCAGTGATATGTACAAGAGAGAAAAAGAAAGCCTCACTTTTCCTGAGGGGATATAAAAATTCTCAAGTCTTCCAATTTTCTTAGATTCTTGTCATCTGTGCACTCCAAATTAAATTGGAATAATAAATAAAAAATCCACTGTATAGCAGGGCAAAGGTTTCTTCTGTAGATCTGTCTTGTTAGCAAGTGTTATACTTCTCTGTGGAGATGCTTACAGATTCCTGCTGATTCATTATGGCAGGAGTGGCTCGTTAACTCGTGCCAGGAAGATGAGTGACAAGTGTGGCTTTCTGGTGAAAAAGAGCAGAAGGGCTGAGGCTGACCTCCATGCAGCCGGTGCAGATTCTGTTCAGACAGACAGATGCTGACACAGGAGGTTGATTTGGATTTTATCAAACCAAAATTCTGTTTCTAAAATCTTTTCAAGCAGCTGCTCAAACATCCTTGTCTAATGAGATACAAGCAGACAAGAGGCCGGTTAGGTTATCGCAGAGATGGTGCGTGAGAACAAAACTCAGAACAGTGCTTCCTGCACAGTGAAGCATTTGTCATCATTTTGGCAGCTTGCTCGATGGGATTGCTTGGCTTCGTGTATCACTGGATAACTCTGTGGCCCAAAACTTGACTGTGTAAGAACTTTCTGAGAGCATAATTTGATCCTGTGTAGCAAGCTTGAGACTTGAAAGGTAAATTGTAATAATGGTTTCAGATTTTGTAGTCCACTGATTTAGTTGCATTAACGTGTGTATACTGTTCATACATAATGTACATATATACATACACAAAAATAGTGTTTTCCACACTCCATTTGTTTGCTTTTCCTTCTGCGTGTTGTTACAGTAGTGTGCTGGGTGAAAATGTATTCTGAGAGGGTACAAAGAATACCCTCGGTACTGAGTGTGTCTTGTGTTCTCGAACTTGGTATTTGAAAGGAATTCTTCTTACAAGAAAAGGGAAATTTCTGAGTCTCTTAATAGGATGAAGTTTGATGTGCTTTCATGTGCTTATTATTAGATTTCAACTAATAAGTCTGTGGGTTTTTCAAGTACCTTTATGTACACTACATTCTGCTGCACATTAAAAGCCTCAGTGGCTGAAATAAAATTTTAAGTAGCAAAGTTGTATGTCTCTGTAGCATAGCAGGGTTCTGTGATTTAAAGAAAGACCAACTATATTGCATAGCAGAAGTCTCTTTCATAGATAGATATATAAAAATAATACTGGACAAGTGTATATGGAAAAAAAAAAAAAACACCCTAAATTGAAAGAGAATATTTGAACACTCAAAGTTATAGTTCCATAGCTTACATATTGAGAAAGTAAGTAGGTCAGCTATTTATTTCAGTGATAAAATTCAACAGTTTTCTTAAAGTTTCCATACAGCTTTCAGATGTCATGGCACATCCTGCTATGTTATACTCTGTCTGAATAGGTAAAATTGTTGAAGTATTGAAGCATTGGCTATTGTTACTCTTGTACATAGAGGGAGAAGAAGGAATATAGTTGTGTTTCAATGCTTACCGGAGGCTATGACTTTTAAATGATTTCCATTAGTCCAGCAAATTGTAATTTTCCTCTCTTATGCTTTCCTTCATCTATTTAATGATAGAATTGGCTATCAGCAGATAGGTTGTTGACGGAATGTGATTTAGCTTTCAATTACTCTACATGTTGTAACCACCTAGAAATTAGTTAAGGCTTCCATTATCGTTCATGTAAAGTATTTGTTCAACTACATGTAAATGTCTAATCACTGCTATGCTAAATGGTTTATTTTTTTTCCTGCTTGCTATAATATACCTTGAAAATTACATTTTCTTTTAATATATTGGTTATTCCAGTGTACCTTTTGCACATCTGCTTTTCCAGTTACAATAATTCATACATTTTGTACACGATTTTAATCACTTGAAAGGGTGAATTAGTCTTTTAATTATTAATAAGGCAGAATCCATTGATTTTCTCCAGTTGCTCAAACATGAGTCTGGCCTAATCCTGCCTCAGGGTTGAGGGGCACTGAGATAAACAGCAAATCCTTGAGCTAAACATTCATTTCATGGGATTTGAAGTGTGGGGAAAGAGGGAGAGGGAGGCATTATTTTCTCCTATGAACTTTTCTTTTAGCTTTTTTTCCATTTTCTCATATGCAAACATACTGTTGAAAACTGTAGTTTTGTGATCATAAAAATAAGTGAAAACAATGTGGTTTGGAAAAAAAAAAAACAAAAACATTCTTTGATAGCAAGTTTACTATGTACTTAAATGTACACAATTTATTACACGGCTGTCTGTGTAACTGATGAAAGACCTGTGGTGCAGAAGGCTTTACTGCTTAGACTAAGAAGTCATATCGCTAATAATTGGGGCAGTGAGTATTCTAGCACAGAAATGTGCATAAGGTAACTCAGGACTTGTGCACGGTGTCAATGCACATGTTTATGTGAGGTTTATCCTGTGATTAGTGTCAGATTTTCTCCTTTGTGTGAAGGACTTTTCACTAAAGCCTCTGGCTCAGCTGCAGTTCGGTGGTTTGATGCAATTTTGTCACAGTTTATTTCTTTAATTGATCTGATCCTCCTTGTTTTTTATGTGTGACCCTAATTACTTAAACTTGGCATCCAGCCATCCTACAGAAGTCAAATAATGTTTTATTTCTTTTTATTTTGTAATTTAAGTTTTGTTTTATTTCATGTTTTCTGATGTCGCATTCTATTTGGTCTGAATTCAAACTGAAATTTTTGATGAAAAGCAGGGAGAACAAAATTGAGCAACCATGTGGTTTAAAAAAACGCATATAATTTATTACCTTAAAAATATGTAAATTGAATCTGTCCTTAATGCCTTTCTGGAAATCAGTGCCAAACTTCTAAGCTGTTCTCCATTGTTTCAGAATGTCTAGCCTCTGTTTTTGAACAGAGCTTTTTCAAATGCTCAGAGACCCTGATCTTGGGGTATTAATTCCCAAAATGATATAAGCATTTCAGAAAGCATCCGTGAATATAACAAGTTCAAAGTAGCAAGTATCAGTACCCCAGTTGTGCAAAGGAAGACGGCATCCATCTTCTCTGAAGAGAAATAGTGTTTTTCTCTGCTGCCACTAAAGGGAAGCCTCCTTTGGGACCTTGTTAGATGCTTTCATGTGAGGACCATTTGACCCACTTCTGACTAGTGAGCAGGCTTAGAAAGCAGGAGTTGTTGGGGGTATGCCTTTGGCTGATCTCCTCCCCCTCTTTGGAGTGAAAGAAAACCCTCAGTGGAATATATTAGGGATAATAACGGGATAAAAATGTCAGTTACAGAAGGGTGACGGATGGAGTTTCTTGCTGAAAATAATAATAATAATAAACAAAAATCTTCACAAGTTGTCTCCATATTTACCATTAAGTCAGCATCAGGATAAATTATACTGCTCTTTTAAAAACAAATGGAAGAATAATATTTGTGGGACTATTTTTTTTTTTTAATAACAGAAATAATATTAATTACCGAATATAACTTAATGTTGACTTCTAAATCAATCTTTCATTTCAAGATAATGAAATCTGTTTCATGAAATTTAAACATATATTGCTTAAAAGAAATTTGATTATTTTTTTCTTGTTAACAACACATAAAGGAGAGCTGCTTTTGAAGCCTGTATTTAATTAAGCCATCTGAGATAAAAACTTGTGTGGTAAGGAAGCCAGCGATGAAATCTTCAGGTTATGGGCTTTAAATCTCATGTCTAAGGAAAAAGATAGATTCAGTCCAAAAAAAAAAAAAAAAAAGCTATTACTTTTCAGTTTTAACAGGTGGATTCTTTCTCCAAATACAATAATGTTGGTTTTTCTGTAGGATAACTGGATAATTCCATTCCAGACAGCAAGTTTGAAATAGATTATATCTGCTTTCTTTTAATGTATTGAGGATCCTCAAAACCTTTTTTTTTTTTTTTTTTTTTTTTTGCATGATGGAACAAGCCTTTGTGCAGGAACCAATGCTTCCTGGATTATGAGATTATTGTTTGTGTTCCTGGGAAAGCTAGTTTTGATGCATGATTTTGTCCCCAGTCACCTCTAAATATTCAAGACTGGATCTACAACAGTGCAGGTGGAAATGATCAGAAATAAGTCACTTCTGGAAGACTGATTTATGTTAAGCTGTATATAAGTATATGAAATATGAAATATGCTCCTTTTCTGCCACTGAGTTTACTCATAAATAATCCTTCTGACTCTCTTCAGAATAAAGTAGTAACTCTATCAAGAGAGAAGCCAGAGAAGCCAATTAAATCATTGTGGCAAGTAGAAAACAAACGAGGGAGAAAGCTCTCTAGAGATCAGAAAATTCCTGTTGTTTCTTGATGCTCAAAAGTCCACTTAAACTTCAGAGATTTAGATCATTTTTCAGGGTTTCATTTCTGTCATCAAAGAGAAACTGGAAACCAAGAGATGAGTTTTTTGAAAAAAAAAAAAAAATTGTTCTCCAGCATCTTTTGAATGCTTGTCAGTCCTTTCAGATAGAAGTATGACTGAAAAACCAACCCAAAGGGATAAAACCAGAATGCAGACACAATGTTAGGCCTGAGGAATCCAACAGGATGTAAGATGAAGACATCTGTAGCTGAATAAAGATGCCGCCTTTAGGAGATTATCCTGAAAATGATTGCAGCTGCCACCAGAGAGCAGAAGTGCCAGATGCTGCCATAGCCCCCAGGGAAGTGGCTGTGTGTGATGAGTTGCTGGAGACAGAAGGATTGGAAGAACAGACGTCCTTCTCCAGATCTTGCAGTAAGGAATCAGGCTATGGCAGTCCTACCCTTAGATTTGTCACCAGTGAGGGGAAATTTGCTCTAGGCCTCTTGCTATCAATTATTTTTTTTTTTTTTAGCATTTGAGATGTGACTTTTTTGTCAGAAATAACTGAGATGGTACCTCGTGCAAATGGTAACAGCTCCTAATGTAAATTTTGAACTAAAAGTATGCATTGTTCCATGAAGTGTTAGGATTTTTGATTTTGTAATCATGTATTTCCTGCCTGTGAAGCCAGGTCCATCATTTTTATAACCTAAATGGTGTATCGTTGGAAGAAAGTGGTTTTGTTTCATTAAACATAGTGCTGCCTAACATATATAGGGGGAGCAAAAATGAAGCTCTGTGAAACATTGAAATTGAGACCAGGGTAAACTGGAGAAACTGAGAAGCTAAAGACAGCTTCTACATAGAGAAATGATCTGCTGAGCAAAGTTACAGCAATTCTAAGTTTCTTTAAGCAAATTTCTGTCCAGACTTTCAAAAGAAATATTTGGAATCTCATGGTCAGCCATTATTTTGAATATAATGATAACAAATTACATGGTAGAAGATTAGCCAAATATCTAACCAGCTCATTAACATTCCTGAAACAAACTCGTTAGGATGAAACTTCCTCAAGTCTTTGAGAAGCACACTCATAACTGTGGAAAAAAAACTTGAAAATGTGAACCCAAAGTCACTGAAAATATTAAATGTTTTTAACTGTCACCTGTATAATCTATGGTTCTTTTATATATAATATATATTTTCAAAGTTTTCAAACAAATTGTGATTATTACACTTTCCTGACTGTGGGTTGCTCACGTTGGCAGTGAAGTACTGATTAGTATAGAGGGCTTTCTTGCCTAACTCAGGTACCATAACATTCAAAATTATTTTAGTAATAGTCTGAAATCTCAGTTGCAACTGCAGTACCTGTCAGTTATTCTTGGTGATAAGAAAGGTACTACTAGAAAAGCCTACGCGTCTTATTCTTAACTTAGTTATTTGATCAATATAAGACATATTTCATGCAAACTGAAAAATATCTTTTGTTTATATAAGTATGCAGAAGTACTTTCTCACTGTTTTGTAGCTGTACTCCTGTGTGAAGGGCTCTTAAATTGATTCAATCTTTCTTAAAAGTTTTGGTATTACAATGCCTTTTCTCAACTGTATATAAATAGATAGCTTAAAACCAACACATGTGAATTAGTATTTTCAATTTTATACAAGGAATTCTTCAACTGTAGTGCAATATTTCTAGAATAATGTCATTTAGACATTCCATAGGATGCCAAAATGACTTTTGTGTCTGTAGTCTTATTTTTATGTACTCTTTTTTAAATGTAATGTTTACCTATGCATGAAAAAGTTGGGTTTTTTTCTTCTTTTCCTTATGTCTACATCTGTGTTTATATTACTGTCAAACCTCAATTCTGTTGGTACTAATTCCATCTCTATTACTGTGTTCACATCAATTATTTTACCACACAGGCACTTAATTATGCTGTAAGAAAGATGCTTTACTTGCTTGTTCAACCCACTAAGCACCTTGAGCTCCTGATTTTAATATCTACCTCAGAGTTCACCACATGTTGTAAGTCTTACAGACAGAGTTTATAGAAGATAACCCATATGTCAGATAATAACATCAGCAGCCTATCCTGTTGACCTCACCCTTTGACCTTAAAATGGATAGATCGCTGTCTTGCACAGTCACAGTTGCTAAAGTGTCCTGTCCACTGCCAATTAGGATGGATGTCCTGAATTTTCCAACATATACAAAATACTTTAACCAATCAGCAGCAAGCTATTGTGCCATTTGTCTTCATCTTGCTAACTTCATTTTATATTGTGAGGCAACTAAGGAAAATGGAAGCGCTTTTCTGGTTAAACCAAGTTATAATGCTGAGGGTGCTAGAGGATGAAAAACTCTTGCTAATAGCACTTCTTCTCTGTTCTATGAGTGGTAAATAGTTCAAAACAATGTTGGCAGATCTCAAACAACAAGCTTTAAAGTGGGAAAATCAAGAAACAAGTTTGTATATCAATCATTATCACTTAAGTGTAATCTAGAAATTTTAAAAGGGAAAATCTTAACTCACTTTTACTTGTGTAGTATTTGACAAAGGCTCCGTATTTTTTTTCGTATTATATACTTTGCTGTAGTATCAACGTTAATCTCATATTACACTCTGCTTAGTGATAAGTGGATCGTATTCCTTGCAGTTCAAATTTGAACTCAGCTACTTCTAGGTTAAATGTATAGCCATAAATAGCAAAGAATAAAGTAATTTTGTTTGTTGTGCTTTAAATCAGCAGGTGGCTGAGCACGGCATAGTCATTCACTCACTCCCCCACTTCCCTTTGGGACTAGGGGGAGAATCAGGAAAAAGCAACAAAGTAGAACTTAGTGGTTGATATAAAGCTATTTACTACGATAGAGAAAAGGATAATAGCTACAACCATACATACATATATCTATAATATATATACATGTTATATACATTCCCATATGGGGAATGTACTGGGGAATGTATTCCCATATGGGAATGTATATAACAGGCAATTGTTCACCACCCACTGACCGATGCCCAGCTTGCCCCTTGGAGACCATAAGAGAGCAAGATAATCTCCCATCCCTTCAAAATGACTTCCACATGGTGTCATATGGTATGGAATATCGCTTTTGCCAGCTGTTCCAATTCTGTTCCCTCCCAGCTGAGAATGGCCTTGGTTCTGTACAACACTGCTTAGCAGCAATTATAAACATCAGTATGTTAATCAACGTTGTTTTTCTCCTGGAACCAAAATATTGCATCATACCAGACTGAAGAAAATAATTCTGTCCCAACTGAAACTAAGACATTGTTTATTTTCTGCAATCTGATTTTATTAGATATTTTAGAAGAAGAGATGTCTTGTTTCACTCCTCAGAAAAAAAGTGTTGTCTAGTTCCCAAGTGAACATTTTTATGGGTCTAGGCTATAAATGATGCTGGCTTTATTTTATAGTTAGATTAACATCCACTCCAAAAGCAAGTGAGATAACAATATGGTTCATGTGTAGGTGCCACAGTTTTCATCTATAGCACTGTTAATTGATTGAAACTATTGAATGAACTTCAGGAGCAACTTTGAAAAGACTGCTGTAGCTGAGTATCTGACCTAACAGAAATTTGAATTTCTTTAATTAAGCTTTGTCTCTGACTGAATAAAAGCTACCACTTCCTTGTGAAGAGTATACAAAACCTGTGTTTTGAATTACAGCAAGCCTATTTCCTAGTCCTCTTATCAAACAACTTCTGTTCTCTGTGTCCAGGGCTTCTTATTTATTCAATTGATGTTTATGTCTTAGCTAATTACTGACAAAGCCTTCTAGTGTCCTCTTTAGACAGTTCTGGGCTCTGGATCTACTGCGTCTTTGTGGGATTGGCTATATGAAAGCTGCATAAAAGAATGTAGATTTGTTAGCTATATGTTTAATGCATTGATAATCTAAACTCTCCTCAGCCTTACGCCTCAGTAGATCTGCTGGGACTCTGCATCAGGAGGCCCTGTGAGAAGATAAGTAACAATTTCACAGCTGAGTCTGCCTGTTCTCTCTGGAATGAGTCAGCAATATTTCATAATTATTTGCATCAGAAACATAACTCTCATAAAGTCACGGATATCTGACCTTTAGTGATCTTTAGAAAGAACTAATTGATCAAACACTTAAATTTTGTCTCAGTGGAGAGATGTACAAGTAAAATCTTCCACAGATGCAAAACTTATAAGTACTTCTTACATAACTGTAATCTTCTTGATATTTCTTCCCTGCCCCTACCTAAGTAATGATTTACATCCATTTCTAGGGGCAACACTAAGTGGTATGGAATCAATTGTAAAAAGTAAGGGCAGAAGAAAAAACTCTGTTGGTCTGTTTCCTGTCTCATTACCTGTGAAGGATTGTTCCCCACTGTATATTTTCTAGCAATTTGTCTGTTCTCTTAAAAGTCACAGAGCCTGGGTTTCTACTACATCCCTTGAGAGATTAGTCTAATGCACCTTCCTGTCAGGAGTTTTGATTATTCTTTTTTCTTCCTCTTGTATCTTAGCCTTCTTAACAATTGAGATGACTGTAAAATTGTATTAATTCTTAACCCAGTCACCAAAATGAAGTAACAATTAAGCAAACTTTTACTTACTGATACCAAGGAAATCCTGTTTGGTCACTTTCAGCCTTTAGAGAATTGTGGTGATGGAATAGGTAGTATTTAAATTTTACTTTCTGTGGTCTTACAATTCATCCACACACAGAACTTGATTTCTATGATTTTTCCTGCCTCATCAATTTGAATATTTATGGTGCTAGCAATATTCCCTTGTGAGTAATATTAGGGAATTTCTATTTCAGAAACCAGTTGAAGTGTCACTTGTCCATTTTGCTTGTTTGGTGTACATATCAATGAAATTTGAATATTGGCTGGACATCACATGCTGTAAAACCTGTCCAATTTCCAAAAATCCATTACTGCATATACATTCAAATTGTTGATAATCTCAGCACTGTGGGTTTTGCATCAGTTAACAGGCAGCAAAACATAATTTCAGTAAATACAATGATGTTTGCAGAGGGAAGACATACTTCAATATTACATCTCTCCTCCACAGAAGTGGAAAATCAGGATCTGACTATACCTAATTTCATGTAAAGAAGGAACAGATGGCCAAAAGATTTGAGTCTAGTTGTATTATTTCTCACCTCCTAAATATTTATTTCAACCCTTTTACCCTTTTGCACTAGGAATTGTCATAGTAGAGAAGAGATTTGAGTGTGTGCCTTTCCAAGGTTGATGAGGTGTTGAAAAATCTGTTCTTGATTGGCTTGGACCACTCGGTGGCAAAGAGAAAATGTATTTTCAACAGTATCTCGTGTCAACTGGATCTGATAGAGGAACAAGCCTAATTGTGCATAGAGCAGTAATTTGTGTTTTGAACTGAGACAGAAAT